TTTTTTATCTTTTCATTTTGAAAATGCTTTAATAAGTGTTGACAACACTGTTTTTGCAAAATGTAAAGGTACTATACAAATTCTTAATACAAAAAGAATAAATTAAAAGCAGATTTCTTTTTAATTCTGCAACTTTGTCTACAACATACATCTTTTTCATTGACGACAGCAGAACAGAACCTGGTAAATCATTTTACATGCTCTACAGTCAGCCTCAGGAGCAACCTAATCTTTTCCAGTGATCAGAGTCCATTTTACACAACTTGTAATAAACTATTGACATTAATGGGTATGTAAAACTTTACACCTAGTTACCTAAGCAGTAATTGGTCGTCAGATAGCACCTGGGTGGGGTTTGCTATGTTTAGAACTAAACTAACTGAATGAAAACAGATGGGGATTTTAACAGTTCCAACACTCACCTGCGTGTAACAATGAAAACAAAAGGACCTCGCTCGCAACACAGTCTGCGGTTTGCAACTTCATCAGACTGGCTAACAGGCGGCTTCTCACCAACTGGGCTTGCTGTCTGTCAGACCAGGGCCTCATACTCCGTCTTACTTTGTTTTAAAGAAACAGGGATATAAAGAGTTTGCAAGTGCTTGTATACATAACCACAGCATGTCCCACCACACTGACCACTGATCCTGTTAGTCTCGGGGGGCTAACGCGCTATGTACATCTTACTAACAACACAGCCAAACAGTAAAACCTGTTTTACTTAAATCTCTGTCTTTACTAACAGACTCACGATGTTTGCTGGAACTGTGATTCCTGCTCCCACTCCATTCCTTCTGCCCCCAGATCTAAAATGTAATCCGCATGTTTGCAGGAATTCCTCCTCATCCTGCAAGTGAACTGGGCTAAAAGCGTGGCCCGCTTTACTGCAACTCGGTTCCCAGTCACTGCACAGTTCAGTCTCATTATTCATGTGTCTCCTTTGGGGAAAAGGAGAATGACCCAATTTATAATGTTTCCAAATGGAGAAGGGGAACCCACCCCCTCTAAGACCCACAAATCTGCTCTTTAAAGCTCTGTCAAAATAAAAGCACATCCCCCCCCACCGCCCCACCCCAGTCAGGCCCCAGATTCACTTAGTAACACCACAGCCAACTTCTGTTAATCCCGCAGTTTGCCCCTGGAGTGCCCCGGGACGGGCGGTCCCTCCCGCGGCTGGAATCCTCAGCCCAGCTGTGCCCAGCCAGGCACTCGCCCGAGATCTTGCAGAGAAGTGGAGGAGGCGCGCCCGCCTGGGGCCCCCTCTCGCTCGCCGTGGAGGCTCCGCTCCTTCCGGTGCGCCCCGAGCCCAGTCGCACAGGCGGGCGCAGCAGGGCAGTGAGTTCGTGGGCGACCATTCTAACCCGCCTGGCCTGGGAGCCTCTTGTTACTCCGGGATGCCGCACACATGAAAAGGATTTCCCTTTTGATGCTACAGCTAACTTTAGTTCTGCTTCCCCACAAAACTAGCCCCACCCCAGCTCCCGTCCCGGGCCTGGCCGGCAGATGCCTTCCCAACAGGAAGTCGTAACCGAGGAGAAACCGCAGCCCCAACTGCGTCAAGGAGCTAGCACCGCGAGCCACCTGCACGAGACCTTCACCTGCCTTCGCGAGCGACCCGACTGAGATCGTGCACTTGTTAGTTAGTAGAAAAGTCCTCTGAGGCCTTTGAAGACTGATGGCTTTCCGACAGCAGACTTCTCAATGCAAACCCTCAAGGCAAGAAGAGCTTGGAGTGATGTATTTCAAGCCCTAAAGGAAAACAGCCTCCAACCCAGATTGAT